TACCAGTAAAAAAATTGCTCCAGAAAATCTCAGTCCTGGGTAAAGAGGTCGAAGTAAAGGTTGACTGGATGGAAGTAAATAAGCCCCTAATTACGAAAGTTGTTTGGGGGAAAATTCCTCAAATGGAAATGATAAAAAAAAAAGCTAAGATAAGGCTTTCAGGATTTGTGCTCGGCACACAATTTGTGGAAGTATAGAGTGCACTTAAAAGGGGGTGAATTATGTATTTTGATCGATTTTTGGTTTAATGAAACTTTGCTTTTATCTTTCTGGTAAGATGGTGTTTTAGAAAGCGGTAAAATTTAGAAATGAAAAGAACATCGGCGATATATTCTGGTTCCCCTCACAATCCAAACGTAATTTAGTCCTTTTACGCAGTAAGAGGTTTCAATAAGTGTTAGAACCTTGTACAAGCCTATCCTAGCTATTATACATAAGTTACTAACTCAATCAATAAGAACAACCCCCTTATGATCTTACAAATTGAAAGAAGAGAACAATCCTCTCTTTTTCACTCTCTTGCTTCCAACAATCCTGAATAGCAAGTTATTTACTTAATTCTGAATTTTTATACAAGAAGTTGAAGATGGACGATATGTATCAATTGCTAGAATTGATCTTCTCTTTCAAGCAAACAATTCACAAGATGTTATACAAGTGCTTAGAAGTAATGTTGAAACTTTAAATGATGCAATGAAATTTAATACAGTAAGTTTCACACGAAAGTTTATAACACAAGACACTTGTTTGAAATTTTGAGAGAATAATAAGTTTGAATTGCAATGAAAGAGGTAAGGTAACAAAATCTGATATGATAAATATTTATACTACATAATACCTTTATGAAAAAGCATGTAATCATGTAACAATGTCATGCTTAAAGGAAGTATAAAGAAATTCGTTAGAATAAGATTTTGAGTGAAAAAGTGTCATTGTTTCAGTGGTAACCGGTTAACACATAATCGTAACCGGTTATATCTGAAGTGGTATAACTAAAAATTGAAAAATTCGCATGTGTAACCGGTTACCAAAAATGATGTAACGGATTACACCTGACATTTCAACTCAAGAAATTCAAAAATTTGTTGTGTAACCGGTTACACCTGACATATTTTTGAAAAATACTTAAAAAATAATGTTCAACAAGTTTTCACATGATGTCAAAATGAATGCATGCACTAAGTGAAATGATCAACATGGTTTTTTAGCACTATAGTATAGCATAATGGATTAGCAACTTGTACCTCAAAAAGATGTGATCAAACATTAACCTCCAAAGCTATTCTCGATAATGTTTAATGTGATAAAATACTTGATGCTTTAGCTTTGGCCATGAGGCTTTTCCCATCCTTTGACTATGAGCGTTATCTTCTAAGTTCTCTTCATCAAAATTGATAATTGGAGAAGCTTGACTTGACAATTGAAACACCTTTATGCATGCCCATGACCCCGGATGAAGCTAGGAAGGAGAAAATTTTAAATATTTCAGGATGACTATCTCAAACTCGGAAAAAGGCTGTCGAAGTCATATTCTTGTATACAAACACTCATAAAATGGGACCACACAGTCATCAAAAGAACTACATATTCTCTTTTCCCCTAACAGAGGAAGGGTTAACCACTCCAAAGGATCACCGACCTCAACGACTGCTGCATTTATAAAGGATTTAGTCTTCATAGACAATGAAGTACACACTACTTTTGCATTCACCTAGTCATACTCTAACATAACCGGACATCTCCAAAGATTCAAATGGCTCAGCACATCAGTGCCAATGGGCTCACAATCATTGGCCTACAGACAAAGTTGAATGTAAACTTTAGTGTGTTCTCTCCTTTGTAGATTGACTTATATATCCTCATCGGATAAGACGAGGGGGGCATAGGGACTTTAGCGCGATTTATTCCTCCACCAACATTTGATATAAGGGCATCTAATAAACCAGATGACGAAGTTTCTTCCTCCAAGAAATCCCTAGACACCCTTTCTAAGTTAGAACCGTCATATATGGGTATGACTTATGGTTCTAGGTGATCACTACTAAGAGGAGAAAGTGAGAATCAGGGAAGGTCCCTATTGCAGAGGACGGTGAAGTTTCAACAGCGTTGAGTCATATTATCGATTGTCCTGACTAGAAAATAAGAAACATTGGAAGATAAAAGCTTAAGTTAGAATGGTACCTTGTCATGTGGGAGTGATAAAGCTGGAGAAGACGAAGAAATGAGAGAGCTTTAAGCAATGCACTGAGAATCACTTCTACTGATACACTTAAGGAAGAATAAACAAAGACATTTTAACGAAAGTAACTATAAGATTGAATGTTAAATGTTGCGAAAAACTTCCAAATGCTCAATTCACCCTATTTATAAGCGACAATAGTTGAAAATCAAACTAACTATTCAAATGAATCACAAGATCAACGACTAAATTTCCACTTATGGATACACGTCAACTCGAGTGCACTCAAGTACTCTATAAGGTGAGTCATACCCTAACTAGTCACATCATTGCACGTGCCAAAAAAGGGTGACAAAGCATTTCAATGATGGAACCGCATTAAATGCGTCTGTTTCCCACTACTCTTTAAGAACTAATCCTAAGTGTTTCAGTTTCACTCCATAACGGACCACATGATGTAGGTCGATCAATGATACTTAAGGTTTCCCTCGACTCCTTCAGTACTCAACAAGGACTTGAGAGCAAATGTTCTAGACCGATTAAAGGCCCAACGGACAAAGGCCCAATCCATCTAAAATTCACTCCACTTGCCTAGGTATAAAATCAGTTCACACACTAAGAGAAGTTATATTCTCTAATCTCTGATTTTCACTATACTCTTCTTGAAACTTGAACTAACTTGGACATTGGAGTTCTAACCATGCAAGTCCACCCCGTGCCACCGTAAAGGAGAAGCCACTATTCAAGATTATCAGTTTTCCAATTACAACCATTTCTGGTTCCAAAACGGAACAGAATGTGAGTAGATGATTGAAGATCGTTGGGGTGATTCATGTGCGAATTTTATTTTGAACTGACCATTGTAGAAGTAGAAGAAAGTGGTTAGAAAAATGGTTACGATTGCTCAGAGTCATAACAAAAATTGGTTGTGGTGGTGTAAAATAGAAATTTTGAGAGAATCAAAACACAATTCTCACATATGAGGCCACTAGTATGTACTGAAATAGAGAATTGGTGAAAGGTTGGTGATGATTGTCTCGAAAAGGCTTTTAGTGCGGTGGTGACAGTTCTTCGAATATCATATACGACACCTGCAAAAAGTTAACACTCTAACGCTCGAGTTAATATATGAACAAGGTGAAATTTTGTAAATATGAATGAAAATAATGCACATCGGTGTGACTTTGAGTCACACTTATTTAGTGGAAATGATTGGAGAGTAATGCTCATGTGTGGCTTATGTCGATGCAAGTCCACATGTTCGTCAAGGTTTACGTGCTTCGACTAAATTAGACCTATAAATTGGATCAATCTTTTATGAATATTTGGCCAGCCTAAACAACTAATTCCATAGTAAGTAGTTGTTTTCATTTATTTTAGAATAAAAGTTTGAATACCAAAATATAGAAAAGTAAAAAGATACTTTTATAAATAAAATAAACAAATAATTGTTAATTTATAAATATCAACAACTGATATGAGAAAATATTAAAAAATACCGCTATTAAATCATGAAACAACGGCTCACACTCATTTAGCTCAATTAACAAATGTTAATTGAGTTACTCCATTTATCCATGGTAAAAATCGCTCTCACGGTTTTTTAACTTGATTTTTTTGTTTTTATTTAATTATTTATTTATTTTAAAAGAAAATTCATTAAAAAAAGTTTATATATATATATATATATATATATATATATATATATATATATATATATATATATATATATATATATATATATATATATATATATATATATATATATATATATATATATATATATATATATATATATATATATATATATATATATATATATATATATATATATATATATATATATATATATATATATATATATATATATATATATATATATATATATATATATATATATATATATACTTAATTACAATTTAAGAACTCAAAAGTAACTAAACCAACAAATAATTATTCTTTAAAAAAATAAACATCTGATTCTAACTACTATACCAGTTGTTTTATATTTATAATGGTTCTATACCAGATTTTGATGCCCTGATAGAGAAAAGACCAGATGTTGATGAAGAAAATTTGATTTAAATAAGCAAGAAACAATGTCCTCACACCTTAATTATAATAAATTTTTGACTTAATGGTAGCAAGTGACAGCAACCATAGTCCATAATGATGATGTAGTGTATAGAATCATCATAAAATAAATAAAATAAAAAGTGGCGGTTTAATTTAAAACTCCAAGTTGCCTTAATATTATTTCTCCTATTACTAACATAAGCCTAATTTGAAAAAGACATTTAATAAAACTTTGGTTAAAAAGAATCTTAATAAACCATAGTCCACAGAAAGATAATATATATCTATTTTTATAAGATGGCCCAAAAACATTTTTCAACTTTCACAACCGTTAAATGCATGAAGAACTGATCTGGTCCCCATTAATCACTCCTCCAATAAAGCTACTCACTTTGCTACAGCTCAATCCAGCTATATCATCAACTTTTCCATTTTATCATATAGTACTTTTTTTGTATTTTAATCAAAAAACTTTAGCACCACATTAATCTCAATAATAATAATAATCTTAATTTTGTTAAATCATTGAGTCCACAATAGTATAGCACCAGCTCATGTGACATACAGTCTGTCAAACATCTCTGTTTCTGCCTTTTTTTTCTTCATTGCACAAACAAACTTCTTTTTTTCTGCCAACCATATTATTCTCCTCACTTGAAACTTTCTTTATCTCTTCATTTCTACACCTTAAGTTCTCAACAACTTCACTTGTAAGTTGTAACCTCACTCTTGGTTTTTTCTCATCATGGCTACTGAAACTCTTGAACTTGCTGCTGATCCTACTCATCAGGTTTGGTCTTTATCATCTTCAACTTTTTTTCTTTTGTACTTGAGTTATTTTGATCAAGCTTGCATGTCTTTAATCAGTGGATAATTGTATATAAAGTTAGCTTTTTTAATATAAAAATATATAGTGACAAATAATAGTAAACTTATTCTTAAGATCTTGAAGCTTGTTAATAGCTTTGTTGGTTCATGTAATATAAATTACGTGATTGGATTCAAAACTAGTTTGTACTTTTCATGCTTGAAATTTATGATTCTGAATCTTGGAGTGTTGTGGAAGTCACTAGAATTAAGCATATACTGAGATTTGAGTAGTTTGTATGAAATCATAGATAGAAAAACTTGAAGCCCTGTATGGATATGGTGTTATATGGATTAGGTGTAAGTGAATATGGAATACAGAGATGATGACATGAAAAAGCAAGAAAAGAAAAAAGGTAAAGAGTGTTGAATGTTTTATCCAATGATCAATGATTCTTTTTCTCTCATAGGGTTCTTTTGCAGAAGAGTATTAAACAAGTTAGAATTATGCAGTATCTATTGTTCTCAAGCATTTTAAGAATGTTCTTATTTATGCGAAGAATTTTCTGCAAATTATGAATAAGCTATCATTGATGGTGTTTTTTCATCTTTTGTTATGTAGGAATTCGTGAAGCAGGAAAAGGACGAAGCTATTGCAGAAAAGATTAATTCCTTAGCAAATGAAGATGGAGATAAGCCCGATGATGCACAAGGTCAAGCTACTCCTCCATCCACGACAGAAGAAGATGAGGTGAAGGCTGAGCTTGCAGCAGCAGAGATCAAAAAGGAGGACAATTCTTCATTGAAGGTTTTTGTTGAAGATATTCTGAAACCTGACAGTTAAATATGCATATAATCCGGCTGGTTCATTTAACCAAGCGTTTTTTCATCATTTGTTATACAGGAATTTGTGAAGCACGAAAAGGACGCAGATATTGCAGAAAAGATCAATTCCTTAGCCAATGAAGGAGACCAGCCCAATGATGCACAACATCAAGCTACTCCTTCGTCCACGACAGAAGGGGATGAGGTGAAGGCTGAGCTTGCATCAGAAGCAATCGAAAAGGGTGACGATTCTTCAGCATTGAAGGTATGTATCAAAGATAGTCCGAAACCGGACATAGTTGATGATGCACAAATCCAGCTGTTTCATTTTACTAACAATGTTTTTTCACTTTTTGTTATATAGGAATTTGTGAAGCTGGAAAATGACGCAGCTATTGCAGAAAAGATCAATTCCTTAGCCAATGATGATGGAGATCAGCCCGATGAAGCACAAGGTCAAGTTACTCCTTCGTTCACGACAGAAGGAGAAGAAGTGAAGGCTGAGCTTGCAACGGAAGAGATCAAAAAGGGTGACGATTCTTCAGCATTGAAGGTATCGGTTGATGACAGTCTGAAATCTGACATAGTCTATGATGAACCAAATCCACCTGTTTCATTTAACTAGTAACTTTTTTATCATCATTTATCATATAGGAATTTGTGAAGCCGGAAAAGGACGAAGCCATTGCAGAAAAGATCAATTCCTTAGCCAATGAAGATGAAGACAAGCCTGCCGATGCACAAGGTCAAGCTACTCCTTCGTCCACGACAGAAGATGACGTGAAGGCTGAGCTTGCATCGGCGGAGATAGTAAAGGATGATGATTCTTCAAAGGTCTGTAGAAGATAGTCTGAAACCTGTTATAGTTGATGATGCACAAAATCAAGCTGTTTCGTTTTACTAATCTTTTATTATATAGCAATTTGTGAAGCTGGAAAACAATGAAGCTATTGAAGAAAAGATCAATTCCTTAGCCAATGAAGATGGAGACAAGCCTGACGATGCACAAGGTCAAGCAACTCCTACATCCGAGGCAGGAGATGAGATGAAGGCTGAGCTTACAGCTGCGGAGATCAAAAAGGGCGACGATCCTTCAGCATTGAAGGTACCTGTTAAGATAGTCCGGAACCTGATGTAGTTGATGATGCAAAAAGTCCTGCTATTTCATTTAAACTAACGTTGTTTTTTCATATTTTATTTTATAGGAATTCGTAAAGCTGGAAAAGGATGAAGCTATTTCAGAAAAAATTAATTCCTTAGCCAATGATGATGGTGACAAGCACGAAGATGCACAAGGTCAAGCTACACCTTCCACAACAGAAGGGGATGAGGTGATGGCTGAGCTTGCATCAGAACCGATCGAAAAGGGTGACGATTCTTCAGCATTGCAGGTATATGTTGACTATAGGTCTGAAACCTGACATAGTTGATGATGCACAAAATCCAGCTGGTTCATTTTACTAACAATGTTTTTTCACCTTTTGTTATATAGGACTTTGTGAAGCTGGAAAAGGAAGAAGATATTGCAGAAAAGATTGATTCCTTAGCCAATGAAAATGGAGACAAGGCTGACGACACACAAGGTCAAGCTACTCCTTCCACGACAGAAGGAGATGAGGTGAAGGCTGAGCTTGCATCAGAAGCGATTGAAAAGGGTGACGATTCTTCAGCATTGAAGGTATCTGTTGAAGATAGTTCGAAACCTGATGATGGTGTACAAAATCCTGCTGTTTCATTCAACTAACATTGTTTATTCATCATTTATTTATATAGGAATTTGTGAAATTGGAAAAGGACGAAGCTATTGCAGAAAAGATCAACTCCTTAGCCAATGAAGATGGAAACAAGTCTGACGATGCCCAAGGTCAAGCTACTCCTTTGTCCACGACAGAAGGAGATGAGGTGAAGGCTGAACTAGCAGCATCAGAGATTGAAAAGGGTGATGATTCTTCAGAATTGACGGTTTCTGTTGAAGATAGTCTGAAACCAGACATAGTTGATGATGCACAAAATTCAGCTGCAGAGAAACGAGATGAAGAGAAAGCTGAGCTTGCTGCAGCTGAGTTCGAAAAGTCTGACGACTCTTCAGCATTGAAGGCTTCTATTGGAGATAGTCCAAAACCTGACATAGTTGATGACGCACCAAATTCTGCTGTAGAGAAAGTCGATGAAGAGAACACTGAGCTTCCAGTTGCTGTAGAAAAAACTGACAATTCTGTGCCATTAGAACCTGTTGCAGTTGTAGGCAATGTGGAAGAGGTGAAAGATTTAATTCCTGAATCACAGCCCATCAGTGTTGCAGAACCAGTGCTTGATGCAGCACTAAGCCAGCAAGACGAGCCATTATCGACCAAACCTGATGTGAAGGAAACACAACAAACGATTGAAAAGGAACCTGTAGAAACTGACGAAGAGAATCAATCCAAAACAGAAAACGTTCCAGAAGCTGAAATCATTGAAAAATCAGTTGACACCACTGAAAGTTCAAGTGACACGACAGAGACTATTCAGTCGGAAGTAAATGAGGTGAAACAGGCTGAAATTTCAGAAACACATTTCGAAAAGGAGTCCGAGCCTGTAGCCACAGAAGAGAGGGAAGTAACCAAAGAACCAGAACAAGAATCGCAAGAAAAATCAGAAGAGGCAGAGCAACCAAGCACAATTGCAATTGTTGAACCCTCAGCTGAAGCTAATGAGGAAAAGACATCAACATATATAGCGGAAGAGACCAACAACACCAACGATGAAATAGAGCCTACAGAAAAAGCAAAAGCAGAATCTGTGGTTACTGAAGTTGAGCTAACAGAAACAAAAAGAGAACTTGTGGTTGCTGAAATTGAGCCCATGGGAACAGTAAAAGACGAGCCTGCAGTTACTGAAGTTGAGGAAAATAAAAAAGAACCAGAACAGCAATTAACAGAAACAAGGGAAGATGAGCAACCAAACACATCTTCAATTCCTGAACAGTCTGCAGAAACTAATGATGTCGTTTCTGTTGAAGAAAAAACAAGAGAATTGGAGTTTGAGGCACTGTTACTGAAAGATACAAACAACGACAATGCAGGGCCTACTGAAACAGAGAAAGCAGAGCCTGTGGTTACTCAAGTTGAGCCCACGGAAACAGTAAAGGAAGAGCCTGCGGTTACTGAAATTGAGGAAAATCAGAAAGAACCAGAACAACAATCAACAGAACCAAGGGAGGAGGAGCAACCAAACACATCTTCAATTCCTGAACAGACTACAGAAACTAATGATGTCATTGCTATAGAAGAAAAAACAAGAGAATTAGAATTTGAGGCCGCGATACTGAAAGACAATGCAGGGCCTACGGAAACAGAGAAAGCAGAGCCTGTGGTTACTGAAGTGGATGAAAACCGAGGTACACAAGAAATTCAATCATCCAAGCAAGAGGAAGAAGAGAAACCAAAGGAAGCATCTGATACAGCGGAGGTTCACCAACCCAAAGACTCGGATATTGAGGCGGTGAAAGAGACTGGCAACTCAGTATCAGAAGCAATTCATGTACAAGAAGAGAACATAGATCCCCTGTCTAATGGAGTGGAGGAAAAGCCAAGAGAAGAATTACAAATAAATAACGAAGTTGTGGAAACTATTAAGGAGGTGGAGCCTGAGAAAGCAACCGAAAAAAGTGAAGAATCTATAGATGACACAATCAAAAACTCCACTCTCAAAGAAGAGGAAAGTGTAACTAACACCAAAGTGAATACTCAACAAGTTTCACTAAATGACTCTGCAAATCTGGTGGAACCTTCTCCTGAAGTTGAAGAAAAGGTTGTTGTAGAAGATGTCAAGAAAGAAGTAGTCGGTGATACGGAGAACCCTACCAGTGTCGAGGAAAAGGTTGATGTTGCTGCAGAAAATGTAAAGAAGGAACCAGAAGCACCTGATGCTGTCCAAGTATCCTCAAGAGAGGCGGAGGTTGAGATCAAGAAGGCTGAGGAACAGAATGAAGCAAAGACAGTTGACACGAAGGTGGATGAAATCTCTAAAGCTGTTAGTGAACCTGTTAGAGAAACACTGGCATCTAAATTCGAAGAAAAAGACGAGGAGGAGAAAACTATTCAAACAGAAGAGGATAGTTCGAAGAAAAAACAAATCGAAGAGCCAGTGAAAACTGAGGTTGAAGCCAGTAAGGAAAATGATACAACAACAGTATCCAAGGACCTTCCAAAAGAAACTCCAACCAAGCCAGCTCAGAAGCAATCAAGTAACATTATATCAAAGGTAAAACAGTCATTAGTGAAGGCAAAAAAGGCCATCACTGGTAAATCTCCATCCTCCAAAAACCTGAACTCAGATCAAAAGGGGGACATTAAAGTCAAATAATGGGGCATAATGAATTAAGTTTGCTGAATTAAAATGTTTGTTTTCTTTTTTTCCTTATTGTGATGCATAGCATTATAGCATATATTTTGGTTTCTATACATTATAGTTTTCTCTTGAATTTGTTTGAACGCAAGAAGGTGTGCAGAGTGCAGTGTATATAGAAGATGGCCTTAGGCTATGCTTTAGGCAGTAGTGTAAAATTTGATTGTTTTCTTCATTATTCTTTTGAATGTATGCAGTTTTTTCTTGATTGATGTTTGTAAACGATGGAAACCATTTTAACTATATGGTGTGAAAATGAATTGTTTGTACTTCTGTACAATGAGCTGTGATGAATGATGACATAGTATTGATTGTTTATTGCCAATTTGTTTTAATCCTTATGTATCCATTGTACTTACTAACTAAAGAAGCCTTCATAATCACAACTAGCTCTCACTCTAAATAAGGTAAATGATTACTTGTGTGATAAGTTAACTGAATTCACTAACTATCATTTCTATACAAAAGAAGGTGATCTTGAGTACTGGCATTTGTTATCTGAATACAAATCTAGGCTTTTTGACCAAATGAGGAAAAATAAATGATGGTAACTAGTATAGTATTATTGAAGTTGCATCTGAGTCACGCATTGTCAAAGTTTCAGGACTCTGCAATGTATATCCGTGTTTGGGTGATCTTATCTTATGATGTAGTTTTTGGGCGCGAACCTATGCTCGGGTTAGGCCTGAGGATGGATATTGAAGTTGTATTTGAGTCTTACATTGCCAAAGTTCTTGAACTGTGACGTGTATACGTGTTTGAATACTCTTATCTTATTAACTATCTTTTGGGAGTGAAATAGAAGTCAGTTTAACAAATATAATAAACGAACAAAATGTTATTTGTAATCTTATTATTTCATTAATCCAAAGAATCACTATGAAAGATCTGAATCAAGCATTTGAATGTATAATGTTAAGATATATAAAAAAAAACTATGCCATTAGATTGGACATGTTGTGGATGTACAAATGAGTGGCGAATCACAAGATACCAAAATTTGTGCAATTTTCAAATTTCGGAAATTAGAATTCCCATCACTATTTTGACGGATCAACCTCAATGACTCCCAAATATCCTCTGTAGTAATCTGGATTGAACTTGCAAAGATGAGATACAAGAGATTTTGGACTCACATTTCGGAAAACCTGATTCTTCTACTAGCCACGATCAATGCGTAGTTTCATCAATCATAACCTGCCAGTAAAAGGTGAGGTTGAATGAGTTCGTCTATTCATGCATGCATTTACCGGTACTGTGATAGATGCCCATAATACTTACCAATCACAAAGTGATATTTCCAGGATTAGCAGCTCCACTGTCATCAACCACCGAGGGATGACCACCATTATGCGCCAAAGCCGACTGTTAAATATGACAGAAATGAAGAACATAAACATCAAGCATAAAATTATTCTCAAAACAAAATGTTATCTAACGTGAAAATTGATCACGAGGACCTAGTTATAGATAAACAGACCTGATTAGGGATCTGGTTTGTAAGGTCACGGCCACCTGTGCTTTGTTGAATTTGAGAGTCCACATTCCGCATTGGATCTTTTGAGCCCGACACTGAAGCCGGATTCACGGTTTCAGCATTTCCTGTGGATCCATAGGCAGATGGTCCAGGAGCTGAAGAGTTCAAAACAGGCCCTCCTGAAAAAGGAAACACAGGAGCTCGCGGCATTGGCATGGAAATTCCCTGACCTGGAAGCCCAAACCCTTGAGGATTCGATCTTGCCATTCCATTTATAGCAGAAGGTCCAGACATAGGGATGTGAGTTCCTTGCATCTGAGGCATCATCGAAAATCTAGAAGATCCGCCGTTCATGTCAGGTATTCCCATTCCATAACCCATACCTAACCCCATATGCATGCCAATGCCCATAGGCGAAAATGCAGCCATGTGTGGTGCATGCATGTGCTGCATTCCAGGAGGGAACATCATTTGAGGCATATATAAACCAGCACCCATTGACATCATCTGCGTAACAAGATAGGAATCATTCTCCAATATCATTTATAGTCATAAAATTTAAAACTAAACGATTAACGCCACGGGGATTGAGATTACTTGAACTTGGAGCTGAAGTGTTTTTAGATACTCAATTGCCTCATCGAGCATAGAAGCTTTATCCACCTAGTAGTAGTACATGTTAGTTAGAAAACTCCATAACTTTATACAGTTTTCCAAGTGGACCTAAGAATGAGAAGAAAAAAAACCAACCTTATTGCAGTTAGGTATGAGTTCTTGTAATGCACGCATCTTCTCATTTATCCTGTCTCTTCGCCTCTGTATAAATAAATTATGATTGAATGATTCGTAAACAAATTGAGCTCAAGAAAGAAAATATGTGTGGTTTTGAAATTAACGCGACACAAATAGAAGATGCATGGCCTTGCTTACCCTTTCAGATAGATTATGCACTTCAGCAGCACGGCTTCTTTTGGAACCTGCAACTCCTCGTCCGGAACCTCCCTTCTTAACACCGACTGATTCATCCTCAACATCCTTCACGTAAAGTGTTTTCTTAGTTTATAGAGGGAAAATAGAAAACAAGTCAAAAAACAATGTAAATCTATATTGTTAGCTTACTTCACTATGGCATTCAGAGTCATCAGTGTCTCTACTTTTCCGTTTCAAATCTCGATTTGGATCATCCGAGCCTCTGTCTGCACCATTGCCAGAACAAACTGAAGAAGAAGCTACTGCCGCCGCCTCAATACCTTTTTCAGCAGCTGTTTGTACTTTAGCACTGCCGTCGCCAAGAACTGGATTGGAAGGTTGATCTTTTTTAATTCCACTCTCTTTGCAAACCGGCTCAGATTGTTTAGAAGCTACAGCATTCATTTCAAGAGATTTCGTCTGCAAAGGTTTCAAATCAGCCTTGGATTGCACTGCCACCTTCTGACAGTGAATCTCTGGTTCCTTTGAACACTCACCGCTTGAATTAACAAGAGTTGATTCAGGAGGATTGCTGCTAGTTGAAGCTTCACCTCTATTCTTAATTCCCATACTATCCGATCTTGCTGAAGCTGAAACCAAACCAGACTTCAATCCAATGTGCTGAAGATTAGCTCTCACAATAGCAGCAGGCCTTGCGAAATGGGAAAAGTTCATTACATTGGAACCATTGCCGGACATTTTAGGATCTTGCTTCTGCGCCTTTAAGCTAGAAAAATCACCCGAGGAAGATGGAATGCGAGTAATTTCACCGTAAGGCACATCCTGGTTACCGTTACTTGGATTATCGTTTTCAGTTCTATCCGATTCCTTGGATCTAACAGTCACAAATGATGTTTGACATTGATTCGATGATGGCGGATATAACTGATTCGTGCTTGCTTTATTTCTTGCAGTCTCGACCTGTTCAGCCGAAGAACCCTTAGAAACATTCATCGGTTCTGCAGAATCTTTATTCGAGTCCCTAAATATCTGACTTCCATTACTCCTTTTATCGAATAAAGTAAAACTATTCGATGCAGGGATATCACTATGTAGTTCTTGTAAGAAATCAGAACCATATTCAGTTTGCAAAGAACCATCCATCGAATAATCCAACCAAGGCATCATTTCATCTACTTCGCGAGATGGCACCAATATCGGAATCTCATTCAAACCAGACTCTAAATCACCAAACTTTCCTATCTTTGGATTGTTACCGTATCCTCCTCCTCCAACGTCTTTATCTCGACCTCTCGGGCTATGTGACGGTAAGCAGTGAGACGGCAAACTCCTGCAAGACGGACTACTCTTTCTACCTCTACTTGATTGGCCTTGGCTCGAAATCTGACCACTCTCCCATACCAGCTCAAAAAAATCATTCTCAGGTCTGCACATTCAAATCAAATCCAAAAGAAACAAAAGACCAAAACAAAAAACACTTAATTTCATCAAATCAAACACAAAAAGGTTTATTACAAGTTACAACAGCTTATGCAAATGAACTTACGAGGAAGGTTGATCAGCTACACTTGTGGTGTTAGTCTCATTCCCAAGGTTCTCTCTAGCCAAACGGTATAACTCATAAAGAGGCATGATGATGAACAAATCAACGGATCAATCAACAGAACCAAAACTCAGACCACAAAAACACCTCAACTCAAAAAACCAAAACTCTTAGTCTTAGCATTGCTTCCAACATATTCTTCTGCAAGAACATAGAAAACTTTGGAATCCAAATGAAGTTTGATGACAAAGCAGAAAAACCTGACATAAGCCACAATAAAGGAAACAAGCTTACATCAACAATTTTACAAATTAAAAAAAAAAAAATCACTTATTTTAATACCTCAAAAGTCATTATCAATGAGAAAACAAAAGTTACAAAACTATAATACAAAATTAAGCTAATAAAACAACATCAGTCAAACAAATTCTTTATAAATCATGCTTACTAACCTTGTCAAGTATATAAAGTAAGTGACTTTAATCCGATCTTAATTTTATAATCTTAATTTCTTTCCCTAATCAGCATTTAAGTCGGCGGTGACAAAACCCAAAATCCCAGTTGAGTTTTCCACCAAATACAGTGAGATCAAGGAAAACCCAATTATCTTTTCTCAACTGGGTACTCAAAAAGTTTCAAAATTTCATGAAAACTTAACCTCATTCACAATAAAAAGCTTTTTTTTATTCCTATTCCAATCTTTGAGTGGGAGTTATCATTAACATTCCCAATTCTATCAAAAAAGCAACCTTTGAAGCTCGAAGAAAGAGAAAAATCCAAACTTTAAGACCCAAATAGACGCAGAAGTCGGCGAAAGATTTGCAGAGTTTGCAGAAAACCAATGCAGCAACACACGCACACAACTGAGAAGACAGAAACAGAGGGAAAAAATAGAGAGAGAAATCAAGGTTTCCTTTTCTAAACTATGGTTAATGTTATGGTTAAGTTTTTGTGACTTTTTGAAAATCAAATGGTTACTCTCTTTTTAAGCGAGTGAATCACACGCTT